GTGTCAGCTTCTCCCTCTGAGTGTCAGCTTCTCCCTCTATGTGTCAGCTTCTCTATGTGTCAGCTTCTCCCTCTGAGTGTCAGCTTCTCCCTCTGTGTGTCAGTTTCTCTGAGTGTTAGTCAGAAGCTCTCTCTGTGGGTCAGCTTCTCCCCCTCCTCAATCTCGCCTCTCTTACTTCCCGACAGGTCTCTCTCCTGGGAGCCTCCTGGCAATGCACTTCTTTGTCTCCAAGTCTGTGTCCAGGGAGGCCAGTCTAAGCCCGTGTAGAGTGACGAGCATTTCTCTAGTGGTTGTGTAAATAAATGCCTTTGAGCTCAGAGGAACAGGCAGCGAACTCACCTCCAGAAGGAGGGGGTGTTTGAGGGGGCCTTGAATTGCTGTAAATCTGCATTCTGCTCCTATTTACTCCTCACTACCACCCCAGCACATCAAGACCCCACCAGGTGGGGCTATCACTTTCCCATTTGAGAGTTGAGAAACCAAGTCTCAGAGAGGAGAAGTAACCGAAAAAGATCCACACAGCTACCAAGTGGCAGGGCCACAACTTAACCTCTGGTCCATGACTCCAAATCCAGTGCTCTTTCCACCTCACCCGGCTCCCTGCCTCCACCTCTTGTCTGTGCGGCATTTTGAAGGTTATAGAGTATTTTCACAGACACTGATCTTCACGGCTACGAGTTAGGTGAGATGAACACGGTTCTCTCCATTTGACTAATCGTCTGCGGGTGCTTTGGATTGTGCTGAACCAAAACCAAGAGCACAGAGACGTGATAACAGGCGAGAACATGGTAGAGAAGGGGGCATGAACTCCCATGCCAGCGTCTCGGGCAGCAGCCAGCAAATTGGCAGGTCCCCAAGAGCTACCCTCTCAGACTTATCAGTCCATCTTTCATAGACAGTGAGGAATCATTGGTTGGCTTTTTTCCCCATGGAGAAAATAAGGAGGAAGGAGCCTTCAAGATCCATAGGCCAAAGGTCATTCTATTTTGTCCACCTAGAGTGTAACTAGCACAGTGCCTGGCACAAACCAGTACTAATGATGATGGCGGGTAACACTTGTGTCACACTTACTTTATATCTTGCATGGTTTCTGAGCACTTCATATATATTTACTCACTAAGTTCTCACATCCCCCAGCTGGATAAGTACTGTTATTATGCTCGTTTTGCACATAAGGAAACTAGGCACAGAGAAATGGGCAGTAAATAAACATTTCAGGAATGAATGAATGGTCAGAGTCCTATCATGCTTCGAGTTACAGAAATCAAAACAAAACTACAACCTATTGAGAACCAGAATGGGGCTAATGCAAGGACATGGGTTATATGCTTGAATCTTCTTTCACTCCCGATGACGCACAGATGATCAATCCCAGTTGATGGAGGGGGGAATAGAGACTGGCAGAGGTTAGGTACTTTGCTCTGCAAACTGACAGAGCCAGGACTTACCCCAGGAGTGCCTACATGCAAGGGCATCTCCACTAACCCCTTAGCAGGTCTTCCGCTTACCTGTGGGCATGAGCCAAGCACTGCACCTACCCAAAACACAGCCGAGAAAACACAACCAAAAGCCAGCCGAGCATCCAAGCAGATGCCATAAAGCTCTTATTTTAGATGCTACTCTAGCAAGATATCAGCCTCTTTTTCCCGGACCCAGAGGATGAACAGGAGTGAAGCCAGAGTGGCTGCTCTTAGTAGGAAGGCAAAGGAGAGGGAGGAATGATTAAACAATAACTGTCCAAGCCTACAAACCCGGGGCCACTGAGTGTAGGAGCAGATGGCTCAAGCCACATCAACAGTGTTGCTCCTGGAGCACAGCTGTCGACTTCCAGTCACCAAGAAAGTGTTGCATTGTGCAAGAGACTGCAAAGATGGAGAGCAAATAACTCTGGATTTTATGTTTGAGAAGAGGGTTGCCACTTCTTGGCAGAGCCATTGAAGCTCCCCAAGCCTTAGCTTCTTCATCCATGAGGTGGAGACAGTGACTCTGGCCCGCACGGATTGCAGGCAAGATTCAACCAGCTCCTGAAGGGGAAAGCTCTTGGTCAACAGTAGCCAAGGTGAGTTACGGTGTTTGATATGTTCTGCTTAAGAAGACTGGGAAGTAGGCTATAGAGTTTTGAATGTTTTCCAGTCATGTGGGGGAAATAATAATAATAAAAATAAGACAGGCAATACTTCAAGGTGTAAGTTTCATTATCCAGAAACTTCCCTCTTGCAGGTCCCCTCGGGAAGCTGATCCACTGGGAGGCAGGACTAAATGTGTCAGCCTCTCGGCCTCTCTACCAGAATATCCACCCAGTTCACCTTCTGCTTGAAGGTTATCCATGACCTCAATCAACATGTCTAATGGGATCGAGGACAGACAGGGTAGGATTAGGCATAGACTCCAATATCTAGAAGTCTCTAGTTCAAAAAGAGGCCAAATACTCTTTGGGGACAAGCTAAGAAATTGAAGCTCCCGCCTTCCGCCCAGCCCTGGGGGAGGTCATTTAGACTTCAAGCCAGATATCCCTGGGGGGATACCAATCGGCAGCCTGCTGGATCTCTCAGTAGAAAAGCCAGCTGTGGAATCAGCATCACCATCATCATTAATTTAATTCTCATTCGCTGAGCACCTACCACGAAGCAGACACTGTGTGGGCAAAGCAGGAGACTGAGACACAGGCAAAGTCCTGCCCACAAGGAGCTCATAACCTACGGAAGGAGATGTGCACTGTAAGCTGAAAACAAGATGATAATGACTGTTAACCCTCACCAAGCACTTACCATGTACCAGGCATTGTGCTAAGACCTTGACATGTGTTATCTCATTTCACCCTCACAACAATCCTATTCTTAGCATCTCCATTCTACAGACATGGAAACAGAGGTCCAGAGAAGGTAAATCAGTTATCCAAGGTCCTCAGCTATCAGGGAGCCGGGATTCAAACTCAAGCCTTACTCCAGAGGCCATGCCTGCAACTGCTATGACCTGAGCAATAGGCAGGTACAGATGAAGTGCCGTGTGGGAATGCCGGGGTGGGGGCAGGGCTCTGGGGTACATAGTGGGCTTTGGAATCTGCTGGATGGGGTTCTACAACTGCTTTGCCACTCATTAACCTGAGGGGGCCAGGAGGTTCAGTTATTTTCCATGGCAAAGGAGACCAATGCTGGCTCCATGGAGGAGAGTCGTGAAGATTAGAGGAGCTGACCTAGTAAGGGTGCGTGGTGCCATCTTGGGCATGTTCCACTGGACCAAAAGGGACCAGAAAAAGCACATGAGGTTTGGGGGGTAGGGAGGGGATGGTCAGGAAAGGACTTCATGAAAGAGGTGACTTTTAAGATGGACCTTAAAGGATCAGTAAGTTTGGATTAACTTCAAGGAAGGGAGCAGGGTGGGGCAGGCATGCGCAAAGACCCTGGAGATGAAAAAGCTGAGGGCCCATTTGGGGAACAAGCTGGCTGGAGCCCAGGGAGAGAGCTGGGGAGCAGAGGGGACCATGGCCAGGAAGGAGGGTGAGTCCACACTTAAGCTGGCAGAGCAGTGACCTCTGGCCACGTTTACTGAGAATCCACTGTGCACGTGTGCCAGGAACCAGGCATTACAGAGTTTGTCCCCTGAAGACACCCTCTTTAAAGAAGGAGGGACAAAGGCAGCAGAATCAGCTCTCTCTTTAAAGAGCAGGCAGGCATAGCAGTTGACTGGTCGGCTCCTTTCCTTCCCGCCAGCCTCCCCCTGGGGCTGTGCGTTACTTGGCATCAGGGAGCAAGAGGGACACACTGCCAAATACTAAACACCCTGGGCATAAGTACCATTTCCCTGCATGCCCACATGGCGACACACACACACACACAAAGGGGGTGAGAAGCCAATTTGATTTTCCAAAAGATTGCATAATTCTTAGGTGATATCAAAATAGCTGATGAAGCATCCACTTTCATCTTTTTTGGGTGGGCGTTGAAAGGCTGAAGAGCATTGCTTAGATATTTCTGACAGAATCATTTACAAGAAATAAGCCACCAGCACAGAGCTGCAGAAGCATCAGCTCCTACAACCGCCACCCCCCTGGGACCTCAGATGCCTCCCTGCATGTCCTCAGCAGCAGCAGCCACAGACCAGGCGCTTCTTTTCTGAGATGGGCAGAAACACCGCCACTGAAAGGATCCCCTCCTTCCCACGCCCCAAAGAACTTCCTGTCGTTGCCAATCACTTGGACATAATCATGTCCAGCCTGTGCCTGCTTTTCCACCCTTGGCTCAAGCTGTATTGAAAATCATCTGATTTGTAACTAGTTATGGATATGCGATGTGTCTTCTCAACCAAATTGTGAACTTGTAGGAGGGTCGGAATTGTGCTCTGTTGCAATCCTGTGTCCATGTGTCCAAGATAGACAAGAGAGCAAATATTTTGCCACAATACTAGGTAATGAATCCTAATTCTTTTTTTCTGATGATATGGTTCTTGAATATCTACTAAGATTACCTTCTAATAATATAGTCACTAAATTATTCATTTGCATATTGCAAGAGTCTAGAACAGCGCCTGGCAGACATGAGTCCAGTTAGGACATCTTATGAAGCAATCTTACTTCCATCTTGAAAGAAAATCTTCAACCATTAACTTGGGATCTGAAGGGTAAACGAGCATTAGGCAAAGGAAGGGGAGGGGGTTGGGAAGGTGGAGAAGAATCTTCTAGGCTGGGGGGAGAGCAGGAGCAAATGCCTGGAGTATGGTAAGGGTGTGCATATGTCAGGCCCTGTGGCAGGGAACAGGCTTCAGCGCAGTCGTGGAGAGCAGGCAGTCTTGGACAGAATCAGAGGATGGGTTCCCTCCCGTTAGAACAGGAGGGAAGGAGGAAAGCAAGGAGACAAAAGTAGGCAAGTCTGTAGATTTGATGGCAGAAAGCTGAGAACCTTTCCATATGATGGCTTCTATTTTCTCTCTGAAGAGGGAAGTAAGGATACCTTCTGAGTGGGAGGAGGGGGGCAGAGGTGGCCAATTTCAGGAGAGAGGACAAGGTTTGAAATAGCCACTGAGGAGAAAGGAGACAGAACTGAGCTGGGGAAGGTGGAAGGATGTCTGTGTAGGGTTGAGGGTCCAGTTGAGGTTGGAGACCAGCTTCCACTACCTCAACAACTGTGGCTGGTCATGATTTCCTCCGTACCTGGTTGTAGGAGGACTGACTGGGGTTTCATCAGGTGGAGAGACAGGCCGACAAGGGCATGGAGGATTCTTGCAAGAGACTGGCTGAGGTAACGGACCATGGACTCCACAGGATGGGGAAGAAGCAGGTTGATAGGCAGAGAGAAAGCAGAGAGGGCCACGGACGGGAGTCTGGAAGATGTTGAAAGACAAACGAGGTAGAAGTGACTGGAACTGCTGGAATTACTAGAGGTCGTGGGCAGGAGGGACAAAGCAGGTGCAGGGGTGGCTGACAACCAGGTTCCGGGTGTGGCCCGGGAGCGGGAGGCTGACGTGGAAATGAGGAGGTCCAGGAACTGGTGTGGAGAGGGTTGCACTGGGGACACATGAGGCAGACAAGTGGTCCTGAACTCAAACAGATGCCCTAAAAGCAGCCACTCAGATTCTAGGGTTCCCAGAAATCAGTCAGTCCAGCAGCTTCCTCTGAAAGCCGGGGACACTGACAGGGTCAGGGCCTGACCCAAGGTCACAAAACGGGTTTGAGGCAGGTGAGTCTGCACCCCACCCTCAGCCCCCAGGCCGGGGCTCCCCTCCCCATGATGGCCTCTCCCCTAGAGGCGAGCACGAGGGACAGGCGAGGTGAGGAAGAGGAGGAGGCAGGTGAGGGCGGGCCACGTCCAGGTCGCCTCCCCGGGCCTCCGCCCCAGTGCCCGGCCCCACACCCCACCCGGCCAGGCCAATCCGGCCACACCCCACACCGGAAGCACGTGGCCCCCCACCAGCGCGGTTGCCCGGGAGACCCGGGCTGTTTACCAGCGGGACGGAGCTGGGCGACGGCGGCGGCGGATGGAGGCCAGCTGCGAGGTGAGCGCGGCCCGGCCTCCCTCCCGTGGCCTGGAAGGGGCGCAGGGAGGCTGATCCGAGCCCCGGTACATGGACCCGGCGGGCCTCCCCAGAGCCGGCCCTGGGGCGAGCCCCGGGGAGACAGGGCAGGGGCCGTGAGAGAAGTGGCCACTCCCCAGGGGCAAAGCCAGCCTGGCCAGAGCTCACCCTTGCTGGACTAGGACACCTGCCGGGCTCTGCAGAAGCCGAGGGGCCTAGGAAACCGCTGGGCCATGCCCTCCTGGCTGGGCAGGACAGACCGGGACACAGACCCAGAGGGACAGCAGGACAGCCTGTCACACGGAGAGACCGGAAGCAGATCTGAGCCTCCCCCAGACCAGTGCTCTTTCACCCAAGTCAACTCTCACTTTCTAGCCTCGCTTTCTTGCCCTCCCCCAAATCCCTCCTCTGCTGCTTAAGCTTGCTTCCTTCCTGAGTTGCCAGTTCTTGGAAATAATTGAGCTACCCCCCACCCCTCCGCTGTTGGACTCATCTCCAATTCCTTTTCCAAACCTTTGATCACTTGGTGGCTTATGGTCCAATTTCTCCACTCCCCCTGCTAAACGTGGCACTCTGCATAGGACAGTGTATTCTAATCATTAGTCTGGGGTAGAATGGTACCACAGTTTTCTCATTCTCAGGTCAACTACCATCTTCTGTCGGTTCTTCTGATTGTTTTCATCCTGAAGGCTCCAAAGGAGGAGGGGGCATTGGCAGGGGATAGTATTAACTGATAAACAGTTTTAAAAGATCAATTCAAATGTATGCATTCTTGGTATATACCAGCAGATGGGCTGTGGGTGGTTATTTTTTATTGCATTACTGTCAATTTAGATTTGGGTTGTGAGTGGAATAGGGTGGTCTGACCCTGTGGTGGGAGGTGGGTGCCTTTGGAAAGCAAGAATGTGGCTTTCGCTTTTCCTATCAAATTTTCCTTTTTTCTAGTTGATTTGGCAATTCATCTTAAGGAATGGGCACCTGCTGTTTTGGCAGTTCCTTGGAAACAGTTATCAGTGTTTGTTTCCTGATGCCTAGCAGGCCTCTGGGGTGCAGCTATGATGTTTAAGTAAACAGGCCACTTGCCCATTCAGCTGGCAGCTTAATGGATGCCTACGCTCAGATCTTCTCAAATCTCTTTGTGGTTGAGAGCCTGCCAGGCCTAAGAGGTGGTGAAATGAGCTGAACAGGGACAATGACAGGTGCTGCAGAAGCCTTCCTGGACTGAGGGGGTGGGTGGAGTTCGGGACCCAAGGTGTGAATATACAGGCACAGTTGGTCCAGGTCCCCAACACCTGTTTCCCTCCCTTCTCCTCTCCATGTGATAGAGGCTGGGGAGAGTTGGTGTTTCCTCCATGTAACAGATGGTCCCTGCACCCGGGAGGAGGCAGTGGGTTATGGAAGCAGGTTCGATGGAATGGTTTTACCTGAAGGAGGTGTTAGTCTCTAAATAACCATGAGTGGGCTTATAGGAATTAGTCATAATTGAGGTTTTTTTTTTTTTTTCTCGGAGATAGCTCACAGTCATGTTATCTTATGACCAGGGTGTCTTGAATATGACACCCCCTGTACGTGGATAATTATATAGTACCAAAAGGTATAGAAAGTACATGCACATACTCAAGTTTTCCTGTTAAAAATAATCCAGCAGAGAGCTGTGAGAACACATGACTTTGCTCGTCAAAGTTGTTAAGGAAGAGGTTTCTAAGTTACCAAACTCACTGACAGTTAAACCTTCCCGAGGCTTGTGTGGGAGTTAGAAGCCAAGTCTGTGATAATTCTGTAGAAGCTGTGGCAAATTAATAGCCGTTCCCGGAGCGGGGGAAGGTGGGCAGAGAGGGGAGCTGGTTTCCCAGTCCAGCTTATCTTTGGCAGAACCGTTGGCCAATTAGAACCTTCTCATGCCATCCTGAGTTCAAGTGCAGAGCTGCTTAATTACAAGTGAAAGACTTTAGAACTAAAGTAAAACTAAAATATGTTTATAAAAAAAACGCATTCTCCACAGTGGATCAGAAAATAGATTAAATTAACGAGGAGATGGGTAGTCTTTTTTGATGCTAACGAGAAGGCTCTTGAACTCCCAGCAGCCAGATTGGGTGTGAAAGACTGGTGAGAAGTGGAAAGTGCGGACAGACTCAGTCTGTGAGTAGAATGGAGCACACATACAGGCCTTTAAGTCAAGAAAGAGAGGGGAGATTTGAACTGAGTAGGACTTCAGGAATGTATAGGGATATTGTGTTTCGTTTGGTTATGGTTTTAGTGGAGAGGAAGAAGATACTCCCTAAAATTAGGCAATAATGGTAAGGCACACAGAATGGTAATGTCCGAGTGCAAATCTGAGAGGCTTGAACTACCTTGTTCAGGATTGTGTGATGAAGGTAGCTTGCAGTAAGTGAATTTGAGGTAAGTATACAATTAAAGTGTGGAGTTAGAAGAAATTTATTAGGGAGCATTTATTTCGCATTTTTGAGGCAATTTCATAGGCTGTAGCTCACTGAAATCAACCTTCCAGCATTTCTGTGCAGTGGGCAGGGCAGGATGAGTCCTCGGATTCACCCAGCTGGTGAGAGGTGACAAGAAGTAGAACCACCAAGGATGCTCTGGGGAAAGGCTCTGAAGCCACAGGTAAGGCTTTTGGACCAAAAATAATACAAAGCACTCAACAAGCAGAAAAGCAAGAACAAAAGCAAAAGAAACCTTACCACTTAATTAAGCCTTTACTGTGTGCAAAACCCGCTGCTTACGGCCTTACCTACATTATTTCATATTACTGTCCTCATGTTGCAGATAAAGAGACTGATGTTCAGAGGTGTTTAAATAATGTCTTCAAGGTCATATAGCCAATCCTATAGATGAGGAAAGTGACATAGCAGAAAGGTCAAACAGTTGTCCCATGGTCACGTGGCTAGCTCTCGGCAGAGCCTGAAATAGAACCCAGGTCTTATGACACCGGCTCCTGTGTCCTTTGCACCCAAACATGCTGCTTCTTGGGGACGATGAGGCACTGGGAAGTTACCAGAAGGTCTTTAGAGGGCTGGGAGAGACCTGGTCAGCCTGTGGGCAGAGAGAGCAGTGGTCACAGTGGTGGTCACGATTCAGAGGGAGGCAGGGAGCCCAAGACATTGTGGTGTCCAGGGAAATATGCAGCCTGGGACTGGGAGGAGGAGGTGGTGGTAACCGTGTTAGCGAAGGGGCCACCAAGATGGCGAGGAAAGAGGGGGAGACCTGATTTGGCAATTCTGGGCCTGCACAGAGAAATGCTCACACCTCCCACCACGCTTCAGAACACTGCTTCCGTGTGATTTTGCCAGCGCTCATGAGCACCCCTGGTGGAAAAGCCAAATCCAGAGGCCCCCAAAGTGTTTACAAGGTATTTGGGAAGACAGAAATGTAAACAGCTAAGGAAGAGACAGACTGTGGTAAGTGCTGGGGAGACGCCAAGCCCCATCCTCAAGAACAGGACCGGGTGTCACAGGACCTGGGTTCTATTTCAGGCTCTGTTGCTAGCTGGCTTTGTGACCATAGGGCGATTGCTCTGCCTTTCTGGCTCACACATCTATAGAATTATGTGCCCAGAGTCCCCTTTGGAGTTGGTCTAGGACGGAGTTTGGTAAGTGATGGCTAACGGGCCACATCCAGCCCACCAGCCATTTTTGTGTGGCTCGTGAGCTAAGAATAGCTTTTACACTTTTAAATGGTTGAAAAAAATCAAAAGAAGAAAAATATTTTGTGCCACATGAAATTCAAATTTCAGTGTCCATAAATGAAGTTTTATTGGAATACAGCCACCCCCGTTCATTTACATACCGTCTATGGCAGCTTTCACACGACAAGGGCAGAGTTGAGTAGTTGTGACAGACTGTATGGCCCACAAAGCTGAAAATATTTACTATCTGGTCATTTACAGAAAAGGTTTGCTGACCCCTGGTCTAGAACCTGAGTACCTCTCTGTGAGTTCTGGCCAGTGGGCAGGTCAGCAGTGGGGCCTCCTGCTCCTCTCCCTGCAACCGCTAATGACCAAGTTAGGGCAGTGGAGGGATCCTGCATTAAGTGATTTGTGCAGATCCACTGAGCAAGGCTGAATGGAAAGACAGTAGGAAGGAACATGAAGTAAGGGCAAGCTCTGGGTAGGTGGGAAAAGAGTAAGTAAAGGATTGAGGGAGAAAGGGAAAATGGGGGTCACTGAGGGTGGCTCTTCTGTGGTGAATCCTGGACCAGAGCCCACCCCGGGAGCCAGCAGATTCCCCGGAGCACACCAAACCCGGCCTTGCCTCAGGATTTGTCCACGCTCTTCTCTTGCCTGGACACTTGGTCCTAGATCAAGAGTGGGCAACTGTGGCCTGTGAGCCAAGTCTGGCTTACTTTTGTCTTTATAAATAAAGTTTTATCGGAACACAGCTGCAATGGCTGGTTTACGTATCATCTCTGGCTGTTCTTGTGCTATAGTGGCAGGGTTGAGTAGTTGGAACAGAGACCATGTGGCTCCCAAATCCGAAACTGTTTACAGAAAAAGTTAGCTGACCCCTGCTGTAGACTGTACCATGGCTTGTTCCTTTTCATTATTCTGGTCTCTCAGCTTAAAGAACCACCCCCCCCCCAGTAAAAATAAGAATTAGTCTCCCACCTTAGTCACCTTCTGGTCCAATGCTTTGTTCATTTTCCTCATCACACTTATTACTCTTTGAAAATATCGATTTACTTGTGGGTTTAACTCTTGTCTTTCCTCACTGTAACAATTTAAGTTGCAAGGACTTTGGTTGACTGATAAATTCCAAGTGCCTGCAATGAATGAATGAATGAATGAATGAATGAATGAATGAATTGCAGCTGATGCTCCTCTCCAGATGCTAGAAATCCAGGGAAGCCTCTGGCCCCCAACGGTAGCTGGTCGGTTGGTGGTTATTCTGGCACCTGGAGAGTGAATGGCTCGGATCCAGGAGTCCCAGGAAGTTTAATCCATGGCCTCCTCTCTTTTCTCCTGCTTCCTTAGGGGTCTTGAGAAGCAATGGCCACAGAAGCCCCTGTGAACATAGCCCCCCCTGAATGCAGCACTGTGGTCAGCACGGCAGCTGACAGCCTCGTTTGGCAGCCAGACTCGCTAAACATGCACGTCATAAGGCCCAAGTCTGCCAAGGGACGCACGCGGCCCAGTCTGCACAAACCCCAGGGCGCAGAGGTGGACTCTCGCCGCACACTGTCTTCCCTGCCTTCAGCCATTCCCTGCGAGTTGCCAAGCAGCCAGAAAGCAGGAGCCTGCACACCCAAATCTCCAAATCAGGGAGCTCCTGAGGAGATCCCCGAGCTGCTGCAGCAGGTGCCCTTCGGGGCTTCCTCTTCCCTCAATAAATACCCGGTCCTTCCCTCCATCAACAGGAAGACCCTGGAGGAGGGGGCTGTGGAAACAGTAGCTGAAAAGGCCGGTTCATTGCAACTGGGCAGCATCCAGGCTCTGGACCAAGAGGAGACCTGCACGAGGAAGACAAGAGAAGAAGATTCCAGAGCTCGCGCTTGTTCCTGGGAGAGGAAATTCGTGGTCCAAACCAAGAGACAGAACTCCTCCAGGGCTGGAGACCTGGAGGAACCATCAGATCAGGAGCCAAGGCTGCTGCTTGCTGTCCGATCACCTTCAGGCCGAAGGTTTGTACACCATTTCCGACCAACTGATGACTTACAAACTGTTGTTGCTGTGGCGGAACACAAGAACAAGGCGGCCTACCGACGCTGCAGCATTGAAACGATGGAGGTGCCCAGGAGACGCTTCTCTGACCTCACCAAATCTCTGCAAGAGTGTAGGATCCCCCACAGGTCGGTGCTGGGCATCTCCCAGGAAGATGGGGAGGGGTGCCCCTGAGTCCGCAGCCACCAGCTGGGGTCCTGGGTCTCTGAGCAAGGAGCATGTTCTGGTGCCATGGCCTCCCGGGCAGCTTGGTTCCAAGTGTCACGTGAACCTGGTGCAGCTGTGATTCTCGGGACTCTCTTCTTCACAGCATCTCCTTTGAAGCAGTGAAATTTGCACACGCACTGAGTGCGTGAAGAGGATTCTCTTCCAGTTGTTAAATTCTCTCCACCACTAGAGTGAACTGGCAGGTTACCAGGGCTCTTCCTGAAACAGCTGCGACCAGGCCTCTCCTTTCCAGAGGTCTGGGTCCCTTCTGGAGCCCCTGCTTGCCTTTACAATGAATTCTCACTCTCATGAAGCCAATGGTTTGCCTTTCTGTATTTGATGCAGGATTAAACACTTCCCAGAGAGGATTCTAATCTGGTAAATAACCAGAGATCAGGAAATGTCAAACTGGCATTTGTGTTTCTTGCAAGCATCTTTAAGAAATAGGCAGTTGACCCTATCGTGGAAGGAGCTCCTTTGCTGGGCTCAAGTTATAGAGTTTTTTGGGGATTACTGTTTGTGTGAGGTGGCTTCAGAGGAAAGGACAGGTCTTTTGCTAATACAAATCCCCTAGTACATCAACATTTCTAAAATAGTCCAAGAGCTGGAAAGTAAATTGCTTCCACAACCATGGATTAGCCAGTAGCTACTTTTTAATAGAGATTGACCGGATTTTACAATTTTTGGTAGATATACGTTGTGTGCAAAATTTTTCCAAAACTCAGAAAAGCCGGTGTAATCTGATTTCCTTTGCTTTAGTCAGTAATGGAATCTTTTGCTTTTAACTTGCACAAGCCTACAAATCTGCACCAGTTTGTACTAAAGGCCTCCTTGGCTCATCTGGGTGTGGACACGCTGTTTTATCTCCCGGTTTCAGTGTCTCGCCTACTTCAAACACAGAGCCTCCCTTGAAGCGACAACAGTGCCCCTTTCTCTGATTTAGGATCCTCCAGATGAGGACGGTGCCTCAGTCTGTTGTCACTTTGCTGTGCCTGTGCTGGGAGACCGTGTGCCCAAGCGTCGGGTCGATCAGCATGAAGTGCCTCTGCCTGCCTTAGCCTGTAGCTGTGCTGAAGACCACAGAGTCTTGTTTTTCCAACTTTGAAGTGGTGACGTGGACAGTTGCCAAAGTTCTCTTGTATTGTTAGTTCAGCAAGACTCCCGCGTCTCATCTTGATCCCTTTGTGGCCAAATCACCATTCAGAGTAGGGAACACTTGTCCCTCCCCAGACCTTGGCCATCACGAAGCCCCGAGTACCGATCTGTACCGCACCTCCTGGGTACACAGAGAAGACAGGAGTTCTAGAAGCATATCAGTGTCGCTACCTCAGCAACAAGTGTATCTTGTGCTTAGATAAGGCATGTGGTTGGAAATGTTACTTCCAGCAAAGCGATACTTAGCCCTGGAGATTAGCACCACCATTGTTTCTTCTGAAGGAGGCTCACCTTGTCCTAACCGCATCCCACACCAGCCAGATCACTCTAGAATAGGTTATTTTCAAATGTTTGCCAAAATTTCCTAATACCATTTCTTAAGACCATTTGTTCAGCTGCTCCTTTGACCCCCAAGGTCAGCCGGGGCTTGCAGTGCCTGGGGCAGGCCCACGCAACTGGCCGCCTCTTTGAGTTAGTGACCATGGAAGGAGGGACTGGGGGCCCGAGCCTGGTACTCCCAGTACAGGAGTTCTGCCTCCCAACCAGGACCCACGCACGTAACTCTGCCTCTGATCTAGGAGCCGGGGGAAGAGCCTCCCACAGGATCACACCTACTCTGTCGTAAGAATAAAATCCCACCCACTGGGACGTGGTAGTTTCTCCAGGCAGGAGATCTTTAGAAACTCCCGTGAAATGGAGCAGGTTTGAAGGAGTTAGAATCTTCTGCACTTAGGGTTTTGTGGCTGCTATTTAGCTTAGAATTTGGGGGTGGTGAAAAAATGGAAGGCATAAAGCATAGAAATATTTTAGGATATGTGAATAAAGCTAGATTTGAACCACTTTAGTAAACGTTTTGGTGGGGGGGACAAAAGATGATGATACTAACAATAAAAACCGATTTGTGTGAAACTGAGTCAGTGGAGAAGCGTATCTCATATTTTGGCCCAGGATTTTGGCTGCCACACTCTAGTGGACGAGGGGCTCATGAGTCGGATCCTCAGGTTTCTCCTTGGCAAAGCACTTGGCTCTGCTTTAAGATTTTTTTTTTTTTTTTTAAGATTTTTTTTTTTTATTTTTCCCCCAAAGCCCCAGTACATAGTTGTGTGTCATAGCTGCACATCCTTCTAGTTGCTGTATGTGGGATGCGGCCTCAGCATGGCTGGAGGAGTGGTGCCTCGGTGCGCACCCGGGATCCGAACCCGGGCCGCCGGCAGCGGAGAGCACGCACTTAACCGCTAAGCCACGGGGCCGGCCCTTGGCTCTGCTTTAGATCCAAGTCTTCTTCCCCAGGACTGCAGACGCCCGCCTTTCCCATAGCGCTTGCTTTCAGCTTATATCATAGCACCAAGCTTGTCTGTGTGGGAAGAGACTCCTGAATTTCTCCCCAGAATTATTCCATGTACTCTCCTTTTGAGGTTGGCAAGAACAGACTATATCAGAATTTCAGAGTTCTTGGTGGCTCTGCACCAACTAGGCGCCCTGGCCTACTGGGATAAACGGGGCCCAGCACACTACTCCTGGTGGGTAGGTCAGTTTGCCCATTTTGTGGTCATAGACCTCAGTCATTCATTTAACCAACAGTCATTGAGGACCTACCCTGTGCCACACTTGGTGTCAGGCATTGGTGCCCTAGCGAGGGAGCATGGGCAAGAGATTCTGGAAACACTCTGGACTCTCAACTCAAACCGACTGAAGCTAGCGGCTGGAGCTTTGCCCGGAAGGACCCGAGAGTGAGGATCAGGCTAGATGGCTGCTGTGTCTCCTCCCCACCTCGTCAAGTGTAAAGGGAACTCTTTCCCCCCCCTTTCTTAGTGCTGGCACAGGAAGATTGCTCATTAGGGACGTGACCTTTGCCTAGGACAAAGCTTCATGACAAGTTATTCTGGTACTTCCCCTGATAAAGTTGCATAGGTAAATGAGTCCTGGCAGCAAAAGGAACAGCAGGAGAAATAAGTAATTCAGAATCCAAAAAGTTTTCACCAACAGATGGCAAGTGGTTTTAACACAGCAGCCCTTGCCCTGAAAGTACCTGGAGCCCCAGCCAACAGCAGTCAAGCCAGGGCAGCCCTGCTGAAGAGATGCAGGTGACCGTGACCATGGGTCAGCAGTCACCCCAGAGCTCCCACATAATATGCTTCACGGACAGAGAAACCAAGCCTTGAGCTTCCATTCCAATTAAAAACCTTAAAGGTTAGTGACAGATCACTATCACTGTCATGCATCACAAAAGTAGGTGTTCCAGGAACTAAACTTTTCTTTCCTTCATGCTCTTACCGCCATTTTAAATGGGTTTCTGATGTCGGCTAAAGCCTTCCTGCCCCAAGAGGCAAAAAAGTTTCTCTTTACACCATTTTTTATTGAGGTCTTCCTGATAAGTTGAGATAAAAAGGGGCACAGTTTCCTGTAGTTTGGGGTATATTTTAGATGAGCCTTTTATTTGGTAAGAGGATCTACTTTTCTACCTTTTAAACAGAATTGCAAAGAAAACTAGATTGTCTTACTTTAGCCTTAGTTCAGAAATCATTCTGAGAATTAAGTGGGAACATCTGTTTTCTCAGTCCACTAAGGCAACACGCTACAATCAAGTTAAAAGTTCGCGAGCCTGTTGAGCTTTGCCCTGAAACCAGAACCAACCCAAATGCCACCACATAAGCAGAAAAGGTCAGAGGTCACTGCGGAGGAGCCAGCAATCCAAGTGGAGAAGACTTCCGGTGACTCACTAACACACAAGACAGTAACTCACGTTATAAAAAGAAAATTGGGTGCTTTATTTTGTCTACACTGGTGATGTGACATTTTCCTTTCCTGATTAGGGCGGTTTCTACCAGCCCTTTCTGACGTCCCTCTGTGCTCCTCTGTCTTCAAACAGCTTAGGAAGCAGCAGTGCTCCTGAACAGTCGATGCGGAAGAACGAATCTCTGGAGGTATTTTCGGACACAAATCCTATCCCAAGAGGTTGAACAACAGATGTGACAACTGCCAATGGGTACAATTAAGCAGCCTCATTCCCACGGTCCTGCTTAAAGGAGCACTCTGGCTGTTGTGTTGAGTAGACTGTAGGGGTCAGGATGGAGGATGGAAGACCAACCACTAGCCATTGACAGTAACCAGGGGAGAGATGACAGTGGCTTGAGCCGGGGGGTTAGCCATAGATGTCACGAAAAGCGGTCAGATTCTGGACACATAATCCATTTTCTTAAGGGGAAAAAAAAAAGGCAAGATAGTTTGACAAGTTGGGATTTACCCGAGTGGACTTAGCTTGACCATATCACTAATGTGGACTGTTTCTGCAAAAACAAACAAACATGACAGCAACAATACAAACACATGGCAGGCAGGGGAAAAACACTGCCCAGCAGCAATGTTCATAGGAAGGAAATGCATGAATGTTTTTGGACAGAGTGTATAGAGAATCCCAGAGCTCTTAATTGCTTTAATTAAGAAGAGATGCTACTAAAAAGGTGGCTATTTCACTTAATGTGCAGGTTAAACAAAATCAATTACCATCTAACTCTAGGGGTATGATTGCTGACCAAGGTTACTTAATAAGAAATCCTTGTTGCAGTAAAATAACACATTATTTATCTATATCACCCTCCTCCTTCCGCCCTTCTCCTGCCTCCCTTCATTCCATTCATTCAAATACAGCTGCTGGCTTGGGATGCCTTTCTCTCAGGAGGGCAAATAAAACCACTGTCCTTCGGACTAGTTAACAAAGCTTTAGTTTCATAATTTTCATGCTGTTCTTTTCACGTGTTCTTTACAACATTTTCACCTATTCTTTACAATGAGGAGATCTGTGCAGTAAGGTCTCAGTCCTTTTTGTGACCAGCTGAGGACGGCACCTCTCTGACATCTACCCTCTGATGGAGAGGTAGGGATCACAGGTCCACTCTGGTTGATGAGTACCCCCTGCAGACATCCTGGGTCAGCTCCAGCCCCAGTCCACTGTGAACAAGAGTGGCCAGCCATCTGCAGACAAACCATAGGAGAATGACAGCAACTCTCATCCTCCCAACTGGGAAGTACAGTCTGGAAATCACCTGCTGCCCCCACCCCAGCCCTGCATCCAGCCTTGGGATACTGCATTGTCAACCCAGAACAGACAAATGTCCCAGGCCCTGAAGACTCTGGATCCAGACTCTGTAGAAGGTTTGTTAGTTTCCCTAACCCAGGCTGCTCTTTTCCTTCTTAATGGAGTTCCCAGCAGGCCCTCATCTTATTCAAATCTTCTGTAACAAATTCATTCAACAAATATATATTAGGTTCCTAAATGCCAGGCACATATCAGGCCTATCAGTGAACTGAGCAGGCCCCAAATCCCTGCCTTTATGGGGGTTATGTTCTATTGCGAAGAGACAGAAAAGAAACAATATACATTATAAGTGATATAGTATGATAGAAAGTGTGGAAATTAATTTAAAAAACTTTAACTAAATTGGAGTCAGGAAGGCCTGTAGGAGGAGCTCTCATGCCCTATCACCCACAGTAAATTACACCAAATAGGAAGAGACCAACAGCTTACATCTTGGACAGGAAGTAAAGGTACTTGACTACAGAAGGAAGATTTCTTTCGCCACCCGGCAACAGCCCAGCCAATGAGAAAAGCCTCAGCTCAGCCAATGAGAGGCCATTGCTGCCCTGAACGGTTACCTTCCTCCAATGTACTTTCTTTTAGAACAGCCCCACCCTAGTCCCCCTTTTTCCCTGTAAAGGCAGCTCTCCACCTTTATCTTCTGGATTTGCCTATGGTTTGCCACAGGATGCATGTCCTGAATTGCAATTCTGACATATATGTTCAGATCAGCATTCTGGTTCTGAGAACAGGCCAGGGTGGAAGACGAGAGACCAAGCAAAGCTGGTACTTCTATCATCCAAGCGAGAGAGGAAGCCCAGAGTAGTAGCTACAGATGTCATGGAAAGTGGGCAGCTTCTGAGTATATAATCCATTTACTTTTTACAAAAGTAATGTTTAATTTTACTGCAAAAATAGTATTATAGAAAATACTCATAATATGCATCATCATCATCAATTATTTTTCCAGGCAGAAGAGACTCACTCTTACAGAATCCATTACGCTCTGCCCCAAAACAAAACACATTTTTTTTTAATGGAAAACTTGGAAAATATAAAGAAGATTGAAGAGGAAAATAAAAAACGTCCATAATCCTTTCCATCAAAGATAACTGTTGTTAATATTTGGCATATATTATTTCATTCTTAAAGATTAAATTCATTTTCACATTATTTCCTTGCCAGTAGGCACACAGGCATATTTTTAACATTTGTAATCCTAACAAACACAGCAGTTTTATGTTCTTTTTCCCAAATTCTACAGTGTGCGTAATTATTTTAAGACTAATAGTTCAACATGTTGATTATTGTAATTTATTAAACTATTTCCCTTTTATGGAACATTTACATGTTTCCAGGTTTTTTGCTATAGAAGTCAATGCTGAAATCTTCATTTATGTAGCTTTTTGCATCTTTTGAATTATTTCTTTAGGACAAATTTCCAGGAATAGGATAGGTCAGTCAAATTACATAAAAAACTTTACGGATTTTGCTTTGCTTTTCAAAGGATTATTTTGCAAGCACCTAACAGTTTCATTGCAGCATCTTCAGTTTTGAGGTTGCTGCTTTTTATAATTTCCCTTACTTTTGTTAGTTGAAACTAGAAACTACAAGTTTTTATTTAAATTTTGCATAACTTTGATTGCTATTAAATATTAACACTTTTACATATCTTTCAACATATTTTTAGTATTAAAATTAAAAACTCAAGGTGCAGTTAATTTGTTATCATATTGGACACTCTATCCCAATTAAAGCCAAGGAAAGTGGGGACTGATGGGAGACTGA